GAAGAAGAAGAAGAAGAAGAAGAAGAAGAAGAACAACAACAACAACAACAACAACAACAACAACAACAACAACAACAACAACGATAGCAACAGCAGCGGAAGCAACACAATAACGGTTCTTAAAAAAGATGCATACACTTAGTACACATGGCAAAACTTAACTCCAGCGTTAAACCATTGTTGCTTATAGTTAGTTACATCACCTTGACATAAAGCTTACCCCTAGCATTTTGTCCTCCCTATGTTTCCTGAGAGGGTCATTCATGATGTGTGTGACCTCTGGCCTGGAGAGGCCAAGTGCAAGGATGAGGTCAAGGTTAAAACCGAGTCTTCGGACCAGGGCAAGCAAGAATGGAGGACTCATTGGCTCCAGGTGTTCTGGGGAGAGAGCAAATTAAATAAGATTCCAAAGGCACATTTAAAAAAAAGAGTTTATGTCACTTCTGATGTGTCTACTAACCTGTCTGTCTGCTTGTGGTATTTCCCAACAAAATGGACATTTCAAAACATATTTTATTTTCGTTTAAAGCTAATACATTAAATTCGCTCTATTAAAAAAACAAACAAAACTTTTCACCACGCGATGGGTCTAGTTACCTATCTGCCAATTTTGTTTCAGAACTATGTTTTGCACGCGAAAATGACATTAAAGAAAAACAAATACACAATACGCTGACTTTGAATTTACTGCACAATTGGCAACTCTTACAAGACCATGTACAAAAAAAAAAAAGAAGTTTCATTCAGATATCTAGATTCTAGATATATTGATCGTCAGTCGGGGTGGTTGGGGGTGGGCGGCTAGCTGGAAAACAATAAACAAGGGGGGGGGGGTACGCAAAAAAAGTTGAAAATTAATAAGCTGTGGGACACTTATTTGATACCGAGTACCAACAACGGAGTACTTGAGAGATCAGGAGCTCACTGATCATACAATACGGACTCATGTGGCTTTGACACTTTTGCCTCATGGAAAATGAGTAGATCTTAATACCAAAAACCTCTTCTTCGAACAACAGCATAGAAAAAAGGGGGAAAGTTAATCTCTTGTAAGATATGTGTGAGAGGTGTGGACCAAGGTTTAATCAAATCCAACACATACAAAGACTTCTTGCCTTGACCCACTATATCATACCTACGGTGTCCATCTGATGTTTGTTCACCGTCCCTTTCAGATGACCTCTTTTCTCTAAGTGCTCCACAATCCTGAGAAAATAAGGAATTAAGAAAGCAAGTTGATAATGTCGTAACATAATTTAGAGTTCGCAATATGAATATTTTTTCCCCATTGAAATAAAAGAAGACTAGGAATTAATTCACTTTGCAACTAAAAAAGGATATAAATTTCAGGTCACAAAATCCTACCTAAAACCAGTCTACTGTCCATAATGTTTCAATAATGAGCACGGGTATAAATTATGCTTCATTATAAATTATAAATGATTTTTACTAGATGAATTTGGCTAGTTTTCTATAAATGCCGTGTTGGAACCCTCCTTCCCGCATCCGTATCTTTAATAAAACGCCAAACCCTAAACTTTCTAGTACATGTGCAAGCTATAAAAACCTACTTGGTTGCAGTCGTAACCTACCAAGGTCTGAGCTTGTCCTTGAGCCCCCTGACCAGGTCTATCCGGGACAGCTGTTGCAGCGTCATCAGCAGCTCAGGTACCCCGTGGTCCGGCCGACTGTTGCGGGTGGAGCGCCAGTGGTGCAGCATCTATGGACGGGAGGCCATAATGTGGAATGTTATGTTCTTTTCAAATAAATAAAAAATGTAGGCGTTTTCATGCGAACATCGACACAATCTAGACCATTTAGGAGACGGTCTTCCAACTCTGCTCGTTAGAGCCACCATGGGTTGAGAGGGAAATAACATTCCAGCAGAAAGACCGATATACTCGATACAAATTTCTCCCTACTTCGGAATCGAACTTGGGTCTCCAGCGTGCGACAGAGAAGCGCATAACCGCTACATTACAGACGCCGATTTCGTTCTTTTCAATGTAACATTATTTTTGTTGTGGCAATAGGGCTTCATTGTCTGAAAGGTAGACTAACAAAACCTTAGCATGCTCATTTTCTTTTTAAAAAGTCAAATGTGTTATCGAAAGGAAGGAAACGGGGCCATATTTTGTGACGGAAGCTATTTCGAGACCATTGATCCATGTTTAGATAATTAAAAAGGTGGGTTGCATCGACCCTGTACATACCCCTGCTGGAATGCTGCATTATCACAGCAAGAAATAGATCTATATGTGAATATAGATCTATCTATATATTTTTGCCTCCTGAACATTTTTCTTGATAACACAAAGAGTCTGTCAACATGACAATTTAAGCACGAGGATAATAGTTAAATTCACGTGAAGTAGTTTTTAGTTTGCCACAGAAACGTGCGTTGGGGACTCACTGACAAAGGAAACTACTTTGTTCGTTTATCTACATCGTCGTTAAATCTTAGCACTGCTGAATAACAAAACAGTGCCCCAAGTTCCTACTTTGTTCGTTCTTTTTCTTAGGAGACATTCTGCTGATGTCGTTCTATCTAAAACAATGAAGGGCATGAGAAAAATACAGAAAAAGCAGTCAAACAACCAATTAACCAACCACCCATTTAACTGCAAATACAACAAATGACTGTCCAACTAACCTACCAGATTAACAAATCAAAGACCACACCCTCGAACAGCCCACCAACCCATCCACCAACCTTTTTGGCCCTGTGTTTGTCCTTTAGTGAGGGGTCCTGCCCCAGAACTTTCAGAGACGGATACGGAACACCCAAAAGGACGCCCATCTTCATCCAGTCCCCGCCCACTCCGTCCGCCAGCCATGCCAAAACCCCGCCCTCTTCACGCGGACTGGCTGAGCTCTGCGTCGAAGGGGCGGCGCTTGGAGGCCGTCCTGCCCAATCACTGGCGTCTTTTTCAGCTAAAGTCCTCGGGCTCTTCCCAACAGACGGCGTGACAGCACGGATCGTGACGTCATTCACGGACACACTTCTGTTCTGTTCGGCCTGCGGGTCCACTGATTGGGGACGCTGCTCCTTCCCAGCTCCTGATGTTGGTCGAGTTGCTGCCCCAGGTTTCAGAAGCAGCCCGCCTCCAGATTTCTTGGAAGTGGACTCTAAATTGTTGTTGTTCTTCGCCCCGCGTCCTTGGTTCTGCTTAGAAGATGTGGCCGCGGCTGCGCTTTGTTGTTCCGTGGAGCCTGGAGGTGGGTGGTGGGGGTGTGCCCCTTGCCGGTGCTTCACGATAGGGGAGGTCACTCTTGGTGTTCTCACGGACGGCGCAGGGGACTCGACTTGTCCTCGCTTGTCTGTGGCCAGGTATTTGAATGTGAATTGACGCGGCATGGTGATGATGATAATGATGATGGTGAGGATGATGATGATGATGGTGATGACAATAATAATACTCATTATTTTAGCATTATGACGTGAGTGTACGCACTTTGGTTTCTATAGCATTGTAGTCATTCGCATTATTTTTTTTGAAGCTTCCTGACGAAGCCCGTAGAGGGCAAAACGTTGAACGTATTGTAAAATAATTCTGAAATCCTACCAAGTCTCAACATTCTTTATTCTCTGATGTATACAAAGATGACGATAATAATATATGATGATACTACTACTACTACTACTACTACTACTACTACTACTACTACTACTACTACTA